GTCTAAAAGACGCCCGCGTAGGCTCCTATGGGCCATGGTACATTGTATCCAAACATGTTTCAGTTCTGGTTGGATGTGGAAATTAAGCGTAAACGTCGATATGAAGTTTCATTCTAGACCATGATTTCCAGAGTGACGCGTGTATTTGAAACGGGGTGTGTGTGTGGGTGGGTGGGGGGGGGGGGGGGGAGTAACATTACTCAAGATAGTGCGTATTTTATCTCGTTGGAGTTTAATGAAGCTGTTATTTTCAGATGTTCTCGCAGATACCCGTGAGATTAACTTCTATAAATAATGTACTTAATTTCAAGAGCTCCGGTCCAGTGACGGAAAGCATAAAGCTAGTTTTTTGTTTTACCCATTTAGTTTTGAGATATTTCAGATTTCAGGACGAGTAAAAACTGACAATATTTGGACGTTGAATCATGGCGGGTCTAAGGCACTAGATGTATGAGACAAACGAAGTGTATAAATAAACACATTGCCTGCCTTTAAACTAGGGCATAAAACTGACCATGTGTGGTTTGATTGACGGCGCAGATTTATAGATGTGGCTAGTACACAGTAGCAAGAATGTATGTCTTTCTACTGTAGGTAGAGAACTCTACTAGGCAGAGAGGTTTTAATTTTGCTCCACACTAGGTGTACATTAATATCTTTAACAAACCGTCTATTCCATTATTCGTGTTATAGAAGTATCTCTTTTGTAACTATGACATAAATGTTATGACTTGCAATAACAAGCTGTAAAAATAGGCTTGTCTATTGATATGCAATATAAATGTTTCGAAAATATCTCGGTCGTTTAAAAAGATTGACCTCCTGGGCTGGGTTGTATGAAAGCCGTATAGCACTATACGCCAGGGCCCGGTTTCATCAAGGCTGGATAGTCTATCCTATGGATAACACTATCCAAGGTATAAATCTCTTATCCTCTGGATAGTTATCCTCTGTATAAAATTGTGTTTCACAAAGGCTGGATAAACAGCATGATAGTAATCCAGTGGATAAAAATTAATCCAATACCATATTTGGTAAAATACATTCCCATAATGCAGTTGGTTGCTATAAACATTATAATAGCCATGATAGTTGCTAACAAAAAAGTGATCTATACCATATTTGGAAAATAAATTACCCATAATAAACAATATTATCAGTATATTTCAAGATGGCACATTCATTAAAATAATGGGGAAATATCTACAGGATATTTTAGTGTCAGAGTCACAAACACGTCACATTGCATTAGTTGTGCCTCATGCAATGTTTACAATTTGCAGTTGAAGGACAAGGTCGTGACATACTTTCTAACAAAATGGGTGACTTGGCACGTTTGTCAGATTCTGTCAATAGCAGTGTAGAATTTTTTCATCGATTTAAAAGGTATGTTTTAGTAAAATTAAAGATCATTGGTCTCTCACGGAGATTGAATGGGTTCTGTTCGTAGCAGGCGCCATGTCAACTTTGATATATTTAGTCTGTTATGTAATCTATTGATTCAGCATCACTCAAAGCATCAAAAGCAAACACACATCTTTTAAAACTCTCTTTCTAATTATTCTCCGCCTGTGAAATCTCACAGGATTTACTGCCAAACCAAACAGGTTAGCCTTTTTTGATGATTTAACAGCATGATAGCAGATTTATCCCACCTATTTCGAGCGGACAACTTTTTCCTCTGGATAAGCTGATTTTAACGCTATCCACTGTTGATGAAACGCACTATTCTCTGGATAGCTCTATCCAGAGGATAGCGGCCATTTTTATCCATAGGATAGCGCTATCCAGCCTTGATGAAACCGGGCCCAGATAACTCTATACAGTGTGTAAATGCCCTATACGGCGTATAGCTAAACGGTGGATAAATATGCATTGTATAAAGAGCGTATAAACAGGCGGTTAGTTAAACGGTGGATAAAATCCCTATACAGTGGATAACTGCTAAGAACAACCTCACTTTGAAGATAGTTGCTATGAACAACTTGGTCTATGTCCATATTTGGTTACCCATCAGACACTGTTGCTAAATCACTTTACTGATAAAACAAATCCAAGAAATTGACAATAGATAAATTTCTTTTCATATATTATTCATTTTTATTTAGCATTTATGTACTGTTCATCTTTGTCTCAAATACAAGACTTAATTATTGCAATCAAACACTGAAATGAACAAAAGAAATGGCAAACACTGAGATTAAATGCATTGTAGTTGAAAATTCATTTTTAACTTGTAGTGTTAATTGTTGTTCATGAATAATTTTACATGTGAATATTATATTCTAAAAGAAATGTAGAGAAATTGCTTTACATTATTTACTATTTTCAATTTTATTATTTATTTTACAACTTGTGCATTATATGTGCTGATGAAAATGTACATGTAATGTTATTTATACAAGGGTATCACATTGAACACAATAATTGAACACATTCAATTACGAAACATAATGTCAAAGTCAAATACTTCTCTTCGAAATGTCCTCTCTCTCCTCTGTCTAGGTGGATTATACTGCTGAGGATTCCTGTGGAACCTCAGCAGGCATGCCATTTTTATCCACTGTATAATTATTTAAACGACCTCCCTGAGACGTATAACTTTAACCGACCGTTTAGCAGATTTATCCACCGTATAAAGTTATACGTCTTTCATGCAACCCGTATAGGAACCGTATAAGTTAGACGGCTGATTTATCCAGCGTATAGTGCTATACGGCTTTCATACTAATGAAAACGCTTAGGTCGGAAAGTCTGAAATCTGAATGATTTGAAACGGTCAACTGTCCAGATAGAAGAATGAGGGGAGGATGAAATTTTGGGGATTCATAAAACTGGTGTAGAGCCGCATTTTGCAACTGCAACGCATTTTGCAACCAAAGAAAATCGTGCAAACGAATTTTCAACCGGAACGCATTTTGCAACCAGAATTTTTTCTTAGTCAATAAATAGCTAGTGTGAAGTTCTATAGAGGTAGAATTGAAATGTGGACGGGGTTGTCTCGGCTAGGTACGCTTACATTGGTCAAGCTTTCCCTGTGGTGGACAATTCATTATATACATACATAATCTATTTCACATTGTTACTTCCTAAACCAACATAGCTAGGAACTTGATACGTCGGGGATTAATAAACCTATCATTAAAGGAATTTGAAAAGGCTATTCGGAATTCAATTGTGACTTGGGGTGTGGTCGACCCTGGGGGTGGTCTATTCTAATTTTTACATCGTATTTTATGCTAGGAACATGGAACGCGGCTACATACCATTTTGAATGTGGAAGGGCACTTCGCATTTTTTTTGGGGGGGGGGGGGGGGGG